TTAGGGCGTGTTGCAGGGCGTTTGGCGGGGCGTGTGGTAGGGGCGGTGTTGCGGGCGTGTGGCAGGGCGTGTGCAGGGCGTTTTGCAGGGTTGTGTGGTAGGGGCGTGTTTGGGGCGTGTTGCAGGGCGTGTTGCAGGGCGTGTTGCAGGGCGTGTGGTAGGGGCGTGTTGCAGGGCGTGTTGCAGGGGCGTGTGGTAGGGGCTGTGCAGGGCGGTGTTGTGTTGCAGGGGCTGTGTTGCAGGGGCGTGTGGTAAAGTGGGCAGGGGCGTGTTGCAGGCGTGTTGGCAGGGGCGTGTTTGTTGCAGGGGCGTGTGTGGCCGTGTTGCAGGGGCGTGTTGCAGGGGCGTGTGGTAGGGGGTGTTTGCAGGGGCGTGTTGTGTTGCAGGGGTGTTGCCGGTTGCAGGGCGTGTTGCAGGGGCGTGGTGGTAGGGGCGTGTTGCAGGCGGCGTGTTGCAGGGCGTTGCGTGTGGTAGGGGCGTGTTGCAGGGGCGTGTGGTAGGGGCGTGTTGCAGGGGCGTGTTCAGGGGCGTGTTGGTAGGGGCGTGTTGCAGGGCGTGTGGTAGGGGGCGTGTTGCAGGGGCGTGTTGCAGGGGCGTGTGGTAGGGGCGTGTTGCCAGGGCGGTGGAGGGGCGTGTTTGCGGGGGGTGTTGGCAGGGCGTGTGTGGCGGGGCGTGTTGCAGGGCGTGTTTGCAGGGGCGTGTGGTAGGGGCGTGTTGCAGGGGTGCGTGTGTAGGGGCCAGGGGAGGGGGCGTGTGGTAGGGGCGTGTTGCAGGGGCGGTGTTGCAGGGGCGTGTGGTAGGGGCGTGTTGCAGGGGCGTGTGGTAGGGGCGTGGTGCAGGGGCGTGTTGCAGGGCGTTGGTAGGGCGTGGGCGGGGCAGGGGCGTTGTGTAGGGGCGTGTTTGCGGGGCGTGTGGTAGGGCGGTGTATGGGGGCGTGTTGAGGGGCGTGGTGTAGGGGCGTGTTGCAGGGGCGTGTGGTAGGGGCGTGTTGCAGCAGTGGGGCGTGGCAAGGGCGTGTGGTGAGGGGCGTGTGGCAGGGGCAGTGTTGGCAGCGGTGTTGCATGGGGCGTGTTGCAGGGGCGTGTGGTAAGGGGCGTGTTGCAGGGCGTTGTTGCGGGGCGTGTGGTAGGGGCGGTTTGGCAGGGGCGGTGTTGCGGGGGCGTGGTTGGCAGGGGCGTGTTTGCCAGGGCGCGTGTTGCAGGGGCCTGTGGCGGGCGTGTGGTATGGGGCGTGTTGCAGGGGGTGTTGAGTGGTTGTGTTGCAGGGGCGTGTGGCAGGGGCGTGTTGCAGGGGCGTGTTGGCAGGGGGTGTGGTAGGGGCGTGTTGGCAAGGGGCGTGTTGCAGGGCGTGTTGCCAGGCGTGTTGCAGGCGTGTGGTAAGGGGCGTGTTTGCAGGGGCGTGGTTGCAGAGGGCGTGTGGTAGGGCGGTATTGCAGAGGCGTGTTGCGGGGGTCGTGTTGCAGGGGCGTGTTTGCAGGGGCGTGGTTGCAGGGGCGTGTGGTAGGGGCGTGTGTAGGGGCGTGTTTGCAGGGGCGTGTGGCAGGGGCGTGTGGTAGGGGGGTGGTTGCAGGGGCGTGTTGCAGGGGCGGGTGTTTTGCAAGGGGCGTGTGGTAGGGGCGTGGGTGGGTAGGCGGCGTGTTTGCAGGGGCGTGTGGCACGGGGCGTGTGGTAGGGGCGTGTTGCACGGGCGTGTGGTAGGGGCGTGTTGCAGGTGGCGTGTTGCAGGGGCGTTGGTAAGGGGCCTGTTTGGCAGGGACGCTGTGGTAGGGGCGTGCAGCTGGCATAGGGGCCGTGGGGTAGGGGCGTGTTGCGGGTAGGCGTGTTGCAGGGGCGTGTGTAGGGGGGCGTGTTGCAGGGGCGTATGGTAGGGGCCGTGTTGCAGGGACGTGTGGTAGGGGGCGGTGTTGGCAGGGGCGTGTGGTAGGGGCGTGTTGCAAGGGGTGTGTTGCAGGGGCGTGCTGCAGGGGCGTGTTGCAGGGCATGTGGTAGGGGCGTTGTTGGGGGGCGTGTGGTGAGGGGCGTGTTGCAGGGGCGTGTTTGTTAGGGGCGTGTTGCTAGGGGGCGTGGGTAGGGGCGGTTGCAGGGGCTGTTGTAGGGGCGTGTTGCAGGGGCGTGTGTAGGGGCGTGTTGCAGGGGCGTGTTGCAGGGGCGTGTGGTGGGGCGTGTTGCAGGGGCGTGTGGTAGGGGCGTGTTGGCAAGGGGCGTTGTTGGTAGGGCGTGGTGTTGCAGGGCGTGGTGGGCAGGGCGCGGTGGTTGCAGGGGCGTGGTGGTAGGTGCGTGTTGCGGGGGGTGCGTGTGGTAGGGGCGTGTTGCATGGGGCGTGTGGTAACGGGCGTGTGGTAGGCGCGTGTGGCAGGGGCGTGTTGCAGGGGCGTTGTGGCAGGGGCGTGTGCAGGGGCGTGTTGCGGGGGTGTGGTAGGCCGTGTTGCGGGGGCGTGTTGCAGGGGGTGGGTAGGGGTTTGTGGTTGCAGGGGCGTGTTGCTGGGTGCGTGTGGTAGGAAGGCGTGTTGCAGTGGGCGTGTGGTAGGGGCGTGTTGCAGGGGGCGTGTGGTGGGCGTGTTTGCAGGGGCGTGTTGCAGGGGCGTGTGTAGGAGGCGTGTTGTCAGGGGCGTGTGGTAGGGGCGTGTTGGCAGGGGCGTGTGGTAGGGGGCGTGTTGCAGGGGCGTGTGCGGGCGTGTTGCAGGGGCGTGTGGTAGGGGCGTGTTACAGGGGCCGCTGTTGCACTTGGGCGTGGTGGCTAGGCGGCCGTGTTGCAGGGGCGTGTGTAACGGGCGTGTGGTAAGGGGCGTGTGCAGGGGCGTGTTGCAAGGGGCGTGGTGGCAGGGGCGGGGGGGGTTGTTTTGGCAGGGGCGTGTTGGGGGCGTGTGCGTAAAGGGCCGGTGTTGCGGGGGCGTGTTGCAGGGGCGGTGGGGGTAGGGGCGTGTTTTGCAGGGGCGTGTTGCAGGGGCGTGTGGTAGGGGCGTGTTGCAGGGGCGTGTGGGCAGGGGCGTGTTGCAGGGGCGCGTGTTGCAGGGAGCGGTGTGGTAGGGGCGTGTTTGCAGGGGGCGTTGTGGTAGGGGCGTGTTGCAGGGGCGTGTTGGCAGGGGCGGTGCTGGTAGGGCGTGTTGCAGGGGGCGTGTGGTAGAGCGTGTCTGCAGGGGCGTGTGGTAGGGCGTGTGGGAGGGCGTGGATGGGCGGGGGGGATAGGGTAAAAGGTGGAAGGTGTCGAGGGGGGAGGGGCGTGTGGTAGGGCGTGGGTGGGCGGGGGATGGGTGAAGGGGGGGAGAGAAATGGATAAATTGGTAAGAATGGAGGGAGAGGAGGGGGTGGGGGTGGAGTGGGAGAGTGAGGGGGGTATGGAAGAGTGGGAGGGAAAGAAGGAGGGAGAGAGAGAAGAAGAGAGAGGAAGAGTCAGTCAGGTAGAAAAAAAACCGAAGGACAGCAAGGAACAGAAATAAACAGCAATAAAAAGGAGAGAGAGAGAGAGACAGGCTAGATAGAAAGAAATGTGAAAAGGAACAAAAAAAAAGATAGCGATTAGAAAAAAAAAAAAATAGAGAACAAACCGTCCATAACTCGCAACGAAGTTTAAATGCACTTTTTGCGAACTTCTTTTTTTTCTTTTTTTCATTTTTCTTTTTCCTTTTTTCTTTTGTTGCAAAGAAATATACGAACTGACAGAAGCTGAGTATCCTATATCTCGGATCGTGTGTGTGTCTTCTGAGCCGTTCTTTACATTTCCTCTCATTTATTGACTTTTTTTCCGTCTCTCCTTCTTCTTCTTTTCTTGCTAGAATTCTATTTTCGTTGAGCATATTTTAAGCGTGGGTTGTGAAGAGAAAAATTTATTTATTTGCTTCTGGGAACACTAATGAGCGTATGATTGCGTTGCTTAGATTAGTTTGTGTGTTGTTTGGGTGCAACTCGGTGGTATATATAACGTCGTTATTTCTCTCTCTCTCTCTTTTTTCGTCTTCTCTCTCTCTCTCTCTCTTCGTCGCTTTCTCTCTCTCTCTTCTCTCTCCTGCTCTCTCTCTCTCGTCTCTCTCTATCTGCCTCTCTCTCTCTCTCTCTTCTCTCTCTTCTATCTTCTCTCTATCTCTTCTCTCGTCTCTATCTCTCTCTCTCTCTCTCTCTCTCTCTCTCTCTCTCTCTCTCCTGCTCTCTCTCTCTCTCTCTCTCTTTCTCTCTCTCTCTTCTCTCTCTCTCTCTTTCTCTCTCTTCTCTCTTTATTCTTAAATCCGCTCTTGCTCTTCACACTTTCCTTTCCTTTCTGTCTCTCTCTCTCTCTCTTCTCTCCTCTCTCTCTCCTCTCTCTCTCTCTCCTCTCTCTCTCTTCTCCTCTCTCTCTTCTCTCTCCTCTCTTCTCCTCTCTCTCTCTCTCTCCTCTCTCTCTCTTTCGGTCCACTCTTTTCTCTCCTTCACTCTCTGTCTCTTATTTCTTAAACGCCGCTTCTCTCAACTG